TGCTGTATCATATTCTTTGGTTGGAATGCCGAAGAATCAAACGTATGTTTGCTATAGCAATCGACAACTTTACTTATATTCGTATGTAAGTAGGGTTTCGAGACTACCAGTAAATCCCACCAAAGAATATGATATAGCAGAGGCCTGACCTTGCTTGAAACTCACTTATGCCCTGTGACTCAAGGATACTCGTGGCAGTGTAGCCGTGTGGTTAGCGTGTTAAGCTACCGTCCTGAACTTTCGCGGTTCGAATCCCGCTGAGGGTGTTGATAAGACCGATGCGAGGTAGAAACTGCAGTCCATTTGTGTCCGGATAAGAACAACTTTTGTGAAAGCAAGGCAATGTGAAATTCACTGGAAACGTCAACTCAACTCATATGATTGTGGGAAAATTCTTCTTCTACCAGTCCTTCATCAGCTTAAACGAAATTGGGGTAATACATCTCATACTACTTATTTACTGGTAGTCTCGAAACCCTACTTACATGCGAATATATGTAAGATGACAGATAGAACCGGACAATAATTTGTAACTATTTGTTAACGTTAGACTTTTCATAAATTGAGCTCCAGCTCTGATGATGAAAGCTCATCACATTTCCACTCGAGACGAGAGAGGCTGTCTCGTAGACTGCATCAACCTGAACTTTGCATTGAAGCGGAATGGCTGCACTACAACGCCAGCTGCAGTACGTCATTTTGTAGTCGGATCAATCAGCGAAGCTCTTCATCATGCATGTATATACGAGATGAAAGTCTCCACAGCAACGGCATCGCATAAGATTCATCAAAACCCGCTTATTCATCATAGCTTCTATTCGGTGAAGAAGGACTGGCAGCTGAGATGAGAAAATCTCACGTTGGCATTGTATTCAACATATCCTCTAGTGCCAAAGGACATTCTTATCTAAATTGGTCTGAACCACGGGCTTGTAATTGCATGAAACAGTCTCATAATCACTTCAAGTGGGAATCGAGCCCAGATTATAGCAAAGCAGAATATAATCTTGAGCACCTTTTGGTCATAGGGCAGGTGTGAATTTCAGAATCACTTTTTATAGTAGGCTTGTCGTTCAACCAAACTTGCAATTGACCCTACAACAAACTACTTTACTTACATCTGGTTTTGAGTACTTTTCACAACTACCCGTAGATCTTGAATAAGAGGTCTGTCCATCCCAGGTCGCATGAAATGAAGGAGGACCGATAGTGTTTTAGATAATTGGGTCTACTCATTTGATTGTGGGACTTTGTGTTAACTTGAAACTTTGACAAGAATGAATTCGAGCTCTACCGATGTTCATCATATGATTGACGAAATCGTCAACATATGAGCCAATTTAGAGCCAAACGACTGGAAAACAACAACAATTGGCTCAACCAACAAATCTATCTTTCATGCACTCACAAATAAAATAAAAGTTTCCACGACAACCTCTAGGTTTCTCGGTCAAGAGTGATTATAAATTGTCTACTGGTATTGTCGAGAACCTACTTGTATGCTTTAAATAAGTAATATGTTCGATTGCCAGATGGACAGTATCAGAGCAGGAATTCATAATTTATGAAATAGGTCTTGTCGAAGACCTTGTCTCTTGGTTTGGTACATTTTTGCTCCATTTCGTAAAGTATGCACTCCTGTTCAGCTGATGTCTGTCATGACGGTACAGATGAAAGCTTAGCACAGCTTCATCGGGGTCGCCGGATGGCGAGTCGAGGATTTATTCGCACAATCCAACAGTCTTTTACTTCTTCGAGTTCCAGCAAGACCTCAACTAACTTTTCCTTTAAAATGGCAAACCATGTCACAATTTACACTTTAGCCTATTGAATAAATGTTCTGGCACTTCTGCCGAAGAACCAACGAGTCTTTTCCCGGTGACCATGTGAAAAGGAAGATACAATGTGTCTTTATCAGAGACAGATTGGACGTAGCGAATAGTGGAGACGTCTTTATTATATACGAAGAAAAGCTGGGTTTTGAAGAATCTCTTGTTTCATAATTGTTGGGCTTACTTCCATTTCGAGTAGAAGTTTTTGGTGAAGAGATTGGAAGGTCGGTTCCACCAGAAGACGACGGCGAAATCCACTCGACCAGCTGTCGGTTGGCTTTACTGGAAGATTCATGCTGACGCTGTTTCCGAGGCAATCTCCTTCGA